TACTGATTTGTTATTAGCAATTTTACTTCAGCTTACAATATTTACGCAATTTTATTATATTGTCAACACACTTTCTTTGCCATCTTGTCCCTTATTTTATTTATTTTTTATTGAATTTATAAAGCTACCCACCACGCATGGAAGGGAAATCTGTGATGCACAACAAAGAGGACAATCTTACCATTTTTTTGAAAATACAACAAACGCTGGCAGTTTTATTGAAGAAAAAAAACTGGCATGCTTCATTGCTCATCCTATCAGGTTGCTCAAGAGGAACGGAAGCTGACTGGCACTTCTTGGCTACTTGACTAAATGCTTGTTTCAAACCCCAGGCCTCTGAGTCAATCTCCAATTCAAGAAATGTGTTAAGCCTATGTTTAAAAGCAGTTCCATCAGCGGAGGACTTGTGAGAAGGCAGGTGCATATGACAGTGCAGGATAGAGAGATCTGGCTTGTATAATCCCACCAATACCATGCCTGTCCATTGTTTAGACAGTATGGATTTATCTGTGTCCTCCTCCATACTGGGGGAAAGGTATGCAGGTTCAGAGATGGGAAGAGAACACTTTCACTGAGCTGAGAAGGAGCATTCTAGGACCCTGTCACCACTGCACGCAAACAGGGATCTTGAACTTTCTACCAAAATATCCATCATTCTCCAGATTGTCCCATCCTGCTCTAAAAAAATCTTTGCCCAACTTCAGGAGTCTTCCCTTGAAAAGTAGTAATCAAAGTCTCAATATAATTCTTAATGCTTTGTCACATGAATAGAACAAGGTATCTAATCTTGTTAGTATTTAAATCTGCATTCATTTAGCAAACCTATATAGCTTCCCATCCATACACAAATATATCTGAGAAGCTAATAAAGTATATATAAAAGCAAAATATAAACACCATTGGAAACATCATTTAAAAATCAATTGAGTCTCTTACAAGACATATAAGAATTAAACAACTTCCACCTCCATTAAAGGACTCCACCAATATTCTAGCCCCAATGACTGAAGAAGGAACCAAGTCTTCAAGATTTCTAGAAGGTCCACATGGTTGGGACCATCTGAATTTTGGAAAGAAGCTTCACAGTACAGAAGACATATGTCCAGGATCCCACTCAGTATCATTCTTTCACAAAATGGATCCAGAATTTCCCAACCTGCCAGAACTGTGACACCACTGAAAACAGGCAGCCCTGCACATTACTATGTATCATGTAGCAGTTTAAAAATGACAACCAACATTTGATCAAGAGCATCATGTCATATTGCATTACAGTCTGGTTTGGAAGCATTACTGCTTCAGACTGGAAGTCTGTGCAGAGAATGGTGAGGATGGCAGAAAAGATTATTGGCAGTTCCCTTCCTTCAATCCAGGACATAGCATATAAGCATTGCTTGAGCAGGGTCCGCAATATTGTCTGAGACACTACATATCTACTTCATAACCTGTTTTCCTTGTTACCTTCTGGGAGGAGGATTCTGGGTATCCAAAACAGAACATTCAGATTCAGTCTCACTTTTGTTCCATATAGTATCAACCTTGTGAACTCTCAACCTTCCTCCTTCCACTATATGGGGAAAAAAGTGGGGCAAAAAAGTATTTAGTCAGCCACCAATTGTGCAAGTTCTCCCACTTAAAAAGATGAGAGAGGCCTGTAATTGTCATCATAGGTAGACCGCAAATATGAGAGACAAAATGAGAAAACAAATCCAGACAATCACATTGTCTGATTTGGAAAGAATTTATTTGCAAATTATAGTGGAAAATAAGTATTTGGTCACCTACAAACAAGCAAGATTTCTGGCTCTCACAGACCTGTAACTTCTTTTTTAAGAGGCTCCTCTGTCCTCCACTCATTACCTGTATTAATGGCACCTGTTTGAACTTGTTATCAGTATAAAAGACATCTGTCCACAACCTCAAACGGTCACACTCCAAACTCCAGTATTGTGAAAGTTCACCAGAAACAAAATTGTAAAACTGCACCAGGCTGGGAAGACTGAATCTGCAATAGGCAAGCAGCTTGGTGTGAAGAAATCAACTGTGGGAGCAATAATTAGAAAAAGGAAGACATACAAGACCACTGATAATCTCCCTCGATCTGGGGCTCCACGCAAGATCTCACCCCTTGGGGTCAACATGATCACAAGAACGGTGAGCAAAAATCCCAGAACCACACAGGGGGACCTAGTGAATGACCTGCAGAGAGCTGGGACCAACGTAACAAAGGCAACCATCAGTAACACACTACGCCGCCAGGGACTAAGATTCTGCAGTGCCAAACATGTCCCCCTGCTTAAGCCAGTACATGTCCGGGCCCTTGTGAAGTTTGCTAGAGAGCATTTGGATGATCCAGAAGAGAATTGGGAAAATGTCCTATGGTCAGATGAAACCAAAGTAGAACTGTTTGGTAGAAACACAACTCGTCGTGTTTGGAGGAGAGAGAATGCTGAGTTGCATCCAAACAACACCATACCTACTGTGAAGCATGGAGGTGGCAACATCATGCTTTGGGGCTGTTTCTCTGCAAAGGGACTAGGATGACTGATCCATGTACAGGAAAGAATGAATGGGGCCATGTATCGTGAGATTTTGAGTGCAAACCTCCTACCATCAGCAAGGGCATTGAAGATGAAACATGGCTGGGTCTTTCAGCATGACAATGATCCCAAACACACTGCCCGAGCAATGAAGGAGTCGCTTCGTAAGAAGCATTTCAAGGTCCTGGAGTGGCCTAGCCAGTCTCCAGATCTCAACCCCATAGAAAATCTTTGGAGGGAGTTGAAAGTCTGTGTTGCCCAGTGACAGCCCCAAAACATCACTGCTCTAGAGGAGATCTGCATGAAGGAATGGGCCAAAATACCAGCAACAGTGTGTGCCAACCTTGTGAAGACTTACAGAAAACGTTTGACCTCTGTCATTGCCAACAAAGGATATATAACAAAGTATTGAGATGAATTTTTGATATTGACCAAATACTTATTTTCCACCATAATTTGCAAATAAATTCTTTCCAAATCAGACAATGTGATTGTCTGGATTTGTTTGCTCATTTTGTCTCTCATAGTTGAGGTCTACCTATGATGACAATTACAGGCCTCTCTCATCTTTTTAAGTGGGAGAACTTGCACAATTGCCCCACTGTATATCATGTGTATATATGATATACAGTAGGGCAATACTTTTTTGCCCCACTGTATATCATGTGTATATATGTGTTATGCATGTGTATGGATAGATATATACTTTCTTTTGAGAGCAGGCAACAGAATTTCAGTTTTAATGTGGGCCAGTATACTCATACTAAAAAATGACAAATACAATTGCACTGCAAACCAGACACAGCTTCCAAATGCTTTTGAAGGGCAGTTCCAAGTATGTCCGTTGCAATAGACCAACTGATAATGAGCATTGGATCCAAAATCAGCAATAAGTATAAATGGCACACCAGAAAACTTTATGCAAAATTCTCCTGCCTCACCCGCCTTTTTCTCAAAAAGAAGACCTGAACCATATAAGTAACAGCCTCTTATATTTCTGGAATTTCTTTTATTTTTGTGGGATTAGATTAATTTTAATAGAATCACCTCCTAGTGTCAACAGAAAGCAAAATAACTCAGTCGATAAACTTCCTCTACACAAGACTGAACTTAATTTCTTTAATAGAGCTACCAACTATCTGCTTTGCAAAGAATCTTGGCCAATTTCCATTATTATTAATTTGATCAATAGTTTTCAATTAATCATTGAAACAAAAAAACTTGAAGCTCCTTTTTAAATTTATTTTTATTTTTTGTTTCTGCACTATTGTATTTTCCTTTCTTTTTTCTTAATGTTAGTTTTTATGTTAGTTTAAAGCTTTTAGTAATATATATATTAAACAAAATAAAGAACGTATCTTTATTCAACAAAAAGCACACAATTAGCCTTCAACCATTCTCAATTTTTCAGCTAACAAATGAGCCAATCTCACCTTAGAATCTTTCAGAGATTGTCTGCATTACGTCTACCCTGGCATTGTGCCTTTATTTTGAAGCTACGAATCTTAGCTTCTTCTTATGCACTATCAATCATTCCTTTTCCTTACCATTTGCTCCTTTTTATTTAATTCAGGATGTATTACAATAATATAGCATTTGGGAAGGAAAATACAACTCAATACACCAAAAGCAGAGGTTAAGATGGAGAAAATCTCCACGGCTACCATCAATTTGCCCTTGGTGCTCAAGTAGGTGGGGATGAAGGAAATCCAAACACTGCAAAACACCAACATGCTGAAAGTGATGAACTTGGCTTCATTGAAACTGTCAGGCAATTTCTTGGCAAAGAAAGCCACTGTGAAGCTTTGCTTGAGCGGGGGGGGGGAGACACTGGACTGAGAAGCTGGGGCGAGGAGCTGTCTGCCATTGCAGTCTAGGTATTCCTGGACAGTTGTACCTAGAAATGGGGGGAGGACCCAACACGCAGATCACAGTCAGAGATGGAAAACCGATCCTCGCTCTGAACAGAAGGCAATGGCAAGAACAGCCAGACAGAGTTCTAATACTGTCTGTACAGGCCTTGTGACAAAAGGTCACTGGCTAAACTGAGAAACAGGTGGTTAACAAAGGAATCTCTTCGCTCTTCCTTCTAGGCCTTAGGGCCAGTTAAAAACACCTTGGTCTGCTCAAATGCAGCCAAGGCCCACACCTGGAGTAGCCCCCACAAGTTTCAAGAAGCGCAGCCTCCGCTGCGAAGCTGCAGTCAGGAATTCTCCCTCAAGGTCTCGACGTGAGCAAATGGTCTCCGAGCCGAAATCTGATCTCCGTTGCTCAGCTGATCGTCAGAATTGTAAAGAGGCTACAGATCGGCAGAACGGGAGCTCCCCTCCGAACGAAGTCTGCAGCCTCCCCCTTTCAAAGCCCAAAGGGCTGCAGAGAAGGAAGGGCAAAGCCCCTATCCCCCCCCAACGCAATCTCCAAGGATTCCTAATTTGGAAGTGAAAGCCAAATTATTCTAATTTAAAGGTAACCAATTTCAATTTGAATAGTCTAAAAGAACAAAAGGAAGAATCAAGCTAAACTGGGAGCCTTCTAAAAAGCGTCTTGTCTGAGCACGAGACTAAGACAAAACTGGGAAGCCACACCCAGAAGGAGGCGTGGCAGAGTTTTTTTGTCTTAGTCTGAGCAGGTGGGATTAAATTACCCAATCAGTGGAGTCTACATCCATCCTGATGGAGAAAATGGCAGACTGCGTTGTTTGGTGACCCCCGTGAAATGGTCATTCGACCCCAAATGGGTCCCGACCCACAGGTTGAGAACCATTGCAATAGACCAACTGATAATGAGCATTGGATCCCAAATCAGCAATAAGTATAAATGGCACACCAGAAAAGTTTATGCAAAACTCTCCTGCCTCACCCGCCATTTTCCCAAAAAGAAGACCTGAACCATATAAGCAAAAGCCTCTTATCTTTCTGGATTTTCTTTTATTTTTGTGGGATTAGATTAATTTTAATAGCAATCACCTCCTAGTGTAAACATAAAGCAAAATATCTCAAGACTGAACTTAATTTCTTTAATAGAGCCACCAACTATCTGCTTTGCAAAGAATCTTGGCCAATTTCCATTATTATTAATTTGATCAATAATTTTCATTTAATCATTGAAACAAAAAAAAAACCTGAAGCTCCTTTTTAAATTTATTTTTATTTTTTGTTTCTGCACTATTGTATTTTCTTTTCTTTTTTCTTAATGTTAGCTTTTATGTTAGTTTAAAATTTTTAATAAGATATATATTAAACAAAATGAAGAACGTATCTTTATTCAGCAAAAAGCACACAATTAGCCTTCAACCATTCTCAATTTTTCAGCTAACAAATGAGCCAATCTCACCTTAGAATCTTTCAGAGATTGTCTGCATTACGTCTACCCTGGCATTGTGCCTTTATTTTGAAGCTACGAATCTTAGATTCTTCTTATGCAGTATCAATCATTCCTTTTCCTTACCATTTGATCCTTTTTATTTAATTCAGGATGTATTATAATAATATAGCATTCGGGAAGGAAAATACAACTCAATAAACCAAAAGCAGAGGTTAAGATGGAGAAAATCTCCACGGCTACCATCAATTTGCCCTTGGTGCTCAAGTAGGTGGGGATGAAGGAAATCCAAACACTGCAAAACACCAACATGCTGAAAGTGATGAACTTGGCTTCATTGAAACTGTCAGGCAATTTCCTGGCAAAGAAAGCCACTGTGAAGCTGACAATGGCCAGAAGACCCAGGTAGCCCAACACAATGTAAAACATCATCTCTGAGCCTTCGTTGCATTTCACTAAGATCTCACCCACTTGGGAATGCTTCTCTAATTCTGGAAAAGGGGGCTTGTTCACTAACCAAACAGCACAAATGGCAATCTGAATCAAAGAACAAGGCACAATAACCAAGATTGCTAGCCTCTTTCCCATCCATTTCCTCATCTTGTTCCCTGGTTTTGTAGCCACAAAAGCCAGAACCACAGTGATCGTTTTGGCCAGTACACAGGAAACAGCAACAGAGAAGGTGATACCAAACACAGCCTGCCTTAAAAGGCAGGTTTCCTTGCTAGGTCTTCCTATGAAGAAGAGGGAGCAAAGAAAACATAGCAGCAGAAAGGTGAGCAGGATACATGTGATGCTCCAATTGTTGGCTTTCACAATGGGAGTGTTCGAGTGTAACCTGAAGATTGCTATCACAATAAGTGTGGTCAGAGAAAGAAAAAGTGCCAAAGATGTCAGAGTTGTTCCCAGGCCATCTTTATAGGACAGGTAAGTAATTACTTTAGGAATGCATTCTTGTTGATTTGTGTTAGGATACTGTTCTTCTTGGCAAGACTCACATTCATCTGCATCTGAAGATCACAAGCATAAATTCATTATTTGAACTTTGTACTAATATTTTTCATACTTCCTGCTCTTTATATATTATTTGATATAAAAAAAGTTAGTATTGAACTCTACAAAAGTCTTTTAAAATGATGGTCCCCAATCTTTTCAGCTTTCTGGAACAGTAACAGCACTGGCAGTGGTGGGGAGAGGGAACAGTTTTGCACAAGCAATGGGTGAGCATACAAAGCTCCATTTGCATGAGCAGCAGGTGCACAAAGCTCACACAAATGGAGCTTCACATGTTCATACATATGCCTGCACACCACTTGCATGGCCCAGTTCCGAATAGGCACACCTTGGGGGTTGGGGTCCCTGATTTAAAAGCACAAAGAATAGCCTTTGAGTACACTACTGAAGACCATAAACCATAATAAAGTCATTAGATGTATGTGAGAGAGAAAGCACAAAATAGAAAATTTCGGGATGTTTTCCTAGATAGATCTGAATTCTACACTTAACCATTTGTGTTGAAATCCTCCCTGAAGGACACGGAATGCAATCATAACAACAGATTTGTTTCCCCTGCTGAATTAGTTTGCTTTGTCCAGGATGGCAGCTCTCAACACAGGTAGATTTTGGCACCATCTGTTAATATTGTCTATAGAACAAGAAATAGTTTTCTCCTCTCGCTGATAATTCTGAATTACATATGTTTGGAACAGATAGATTTTAGAAATTATGAATCAGGTTATTAATATCTTAGAAAGATTCCTAATTTCACAACTATCTGACATTGGTAACTCTTTCTGCATTTTTCTTTTCCCCCAATATATTTTCTAAATTCAGCTCTCTCAACAAATTTCCTTGCTGTTCTCCAGATTACCACTCAAATGATACTGATATTAAGCGTAAGAAAATATAACAGTTCCAACCTGATGAAACGTGGGATTCCACATAACGGCACTTGCATTAATGATGAATTCTTTTCCAAGTTGAAAACTGGGATCGATTCTTCCAACTTGGACTCTCTGGAAAGATTCATTGGGAAATGTCACCAAATTGATGAGGTCATAGCCTATCGCTAAATCCCTCTTCATCGAGAAATATTTCATCTCCAACGTTATTGTTAAAGTGGACTTGTCTCAAAAATGAATTAAGCTAGAGGGAAGGAGAAAGGTGTTACTGCTGTAACAAAAAGTAACGGTCACTTGGAACATCAGTGATATGACATTTAAATTGAGATATGATGCAGTACTGAAAATTAGTGTTTTCAAAGTACATCAAGAATCAAAAAGGTTTTATCTAACTAGAACATGGATGGTTAACCATAACAGCAATATTTTTCATCTGAATCTGAAACCAGGGACTCATTCCATTCTGTCTAAACTATGTAAGATGACAGAAAGGATTTTTTTTCCTGTTCCCTGAGAAACTACAAATCTGCCTATCAAATTCATTCTCCAGAGACTCACTTCTCCCATTTTTGAATGACGTGGATAAATATTTTGTTTCAAAGAAATTAGGCTATAGTCCGTTCATCACTTTTTTATTTCTACCTCAATCATAACAAACTTACACCTTTTCTGGAGCACTCCAGCTACAAGCAATTTAGGCCTTTTTACTCATTTGGGAGAAGTAACCAGTCCTTACTGTTTATTCCTCTTCTGATAGTGGGATTAAATATCTGGTTGTTTTTGCTAATTTGAGAAGGAGCCAACCCAGAATGGAGTAAATCAGGGCTTTTCAACCTTTTCACCCATTGTACCACTTTTAGGATATGTCAACATCCGAGTACCACCAGTCACCTAGCAAGGTGTCAAAAACTTGATGACCAAAAAAAAAAAAAAAGGAAAAAGGGATAAAGTACAGGTAGTCCTTGACTTACAACAGTTCACTTAGTGACTGTTCAAAGTTACAATGGCATTGAAAAAGTGCCCCCCAAGCCATAGCTGAGCAAGACACCTACCTGCCCGCCCGGTGGTGCTCTTCCTCCTGTCTGAGATTTTCATTGTTGGGAGCATTTCTGTTGAGGATTGGCAGTGGGGGTGGGGGGGGGTGTTTGGTTTTTATTTCCCTGCCCCCTCTGCTGGGACACTGTGACCATCATAAATATGAATCAGTTGCCAAGCATCTGAATGTAAATCATAAGACTCTGGAGATGCTGCAACATTCCAGCTGATCAGTGCTTCTTCAGGGCTCAGCGGAAGTGCCAGCATCGGTGCTGCTTTCCAGCTGATTGGTGCTTCCTCAGAGGTCAGTAGAAGCACCAGGATCAGTGCTGAGCTCCAGCTGGAGCCTGGAGCTGATCCTGTTGCTTCCACTGAGCCCTGACAGCCCCAAAGAAGTGTCAATCAGTTGGAAAGCGGCACTGATCCTGGCGCTTCCGCTGAGCCCTGACAGCTCTGCATCTCCAGCCATCTCTCACTTAGGCTTGTGTGGTGCTGCCACCGATTCAGCTCATTTCCCTCCCCCGCTACCACTTTTATAGGATGGTTGTGTACCACCTGCCAGGTGCCAATTTATGACAGGTGGTACCCATATCACTGGTTGAAAAGGCCTGGATTAAATTATCCATTTTCCCTATGGTGTTAAATTTAGCATTAATTTTAAATCAGTATATCATTGGTGCATCTGGACTCTCAATTTCTAATTCACTTTAAATATTTTATAAGGTATCTCCATTCTCTCAACATTCTTCTAAAAACATTCACTTGCTTTTCTTTGCAGTTTCAAATGGTGGTTGTGTTTACTAGTTTATCTCTGTTGTTACATCATGTATGCTTCTGTTTTAGTTCTCTTTTGGTTTTCTAAATTATTTTGGTTTTAATGAATTGACCAATTTACTTGTGAGTACCTGCCAGGGAGGAACATTTTGGAGATTCCATTGGCCTTGATTCCTGCTTCCCCTCCGTTTGTTCCTCCAGGAATACAAAGCATGGAGAGAATGTGCCACAAGATAAACAGCATTGTAGATGCTATAACTCCAACCAGACATCCCCATTTCAAAGACAAAATCAGGAAGGCTCTCCAGCTTCTCTTCCCCAGTGCAATTCTTCATTTTCTGTCCATAAATTATATGGATGTTGAGTGAGCAGAAGAATGTTGATGTCCAGATTTCAGACAGGAAATAAAATGTAGACTTCAGAGGATTTATTTTCTCAAGAAAATTCTGAAATCCTGGCACATCTTTGGTATGGAGTGAGAATGATAGGGTTCCATTGAAGGATTTTTTGCTAAATTGTCTGGCAGGGTTCTGAGCAGTGAAATCCCATTCACATGTTGTGATCCATACCTTCTCCAAAGGCTTGTTACGGCCAATTTCCATTGAGTATAAAGTCAGATGTAATCCTTCCAGAGACTGGCCATTTCCATATACAAGGAACACATTGATTTTACTTTGGGAGATAACAGATTGAATTTGAAGGATTTTTTTCTCAAGTATCTCTCTTAATAAAAATAGTGACATAATTGGGATCATCTGTATCCCAGCTATGCAAATATTATTTTGTAGAAGCTTGGGTCTCAAAGTTCGAAGAAAGTTTTCACCACTTTCATCGTCTGAAACAATTAGACTAACCCAATTCCATCCAAAATATTTCAGAAGTTGAACTATCCCCATGTATTGAAAATCTTCATTGGGAATCATTCGGTAGAAAGAAGAAAACCCAATTTTCTTTCTTAATATGGGGTCAGAGGAGCCATAACTAACCTGGGGAAAACATTTCAAATCACAGAAAAACATTCAATTTTGTATAAACTCTTTTTAAATGGCTGCTAATATTAGATACAAATTTACTGGACATTCTTAAAAATCCACTTTAGTATATTGTTTGGTGAGTGGATGGACTCACTTACATTGCCCATGGGTGGTCCTTTTTTTAATTAAAAGTTTTTGCAATTTTACAATAAAATCCCTCTCCCACTACCTCCCTACCCCCCAAAAAACTCTCCCCCCCTCTTCCCAGAGCTGAATACAGGGTTAAGTAGAACTAAGATCATAGGTGGTCCTTTTGAAGATGAGAAATACCAGTTAAGTAGCTTTCATATTTATGTGGTCACTAAAAATCAACATCAACTTGATGGCACATAGTCAGACAATCAATCAATCAATCAGTGTATTTACTTTGAAATTCGTGAAAAGGATATGAAAGAAATTTGATTTCTCTAGTTTACATTTCAAGCTTGCAGTAAGCCAGGTCCTCAGTTAGAAGTAGATGTAAAATGACAGTTCAAACAATAGAAGAATTTACCTTTACAACTGAGACTTAACAGATTCTCCTTTTCTTCTATATACCTATTTCCAAACATTTACCTGAGGAATCTTGTAAGTACTTAAGATGTTGGCCATGTGAATAGAATTTTCAGAGGTGAGTCCCCCAATGTTGGCCATGACTTCCTCTTCAGTGATACAGTAATAATTGAGTGGATCCCCTTGTCTTAGAAAGAGAAGATCCAAAGTGGTCCAAGTGGTTCTCCATGAATTGTACGCATTGTCATAAATCTTGGACCCTAATGTGTTGTTGGGTAACAGATCGGGATTCTTATTGATTTCTTTAATGGCAAAAAGAAAAGCAAGGACATGCTGGTAGTTTTTAGGGATTAGACTGCCAAGAGAATTTTGAATATTAGATCTTAAGGGCTAATAATTAAGTGACTTGCAGCTTAGATCATCGCTTGCCCATAGAGCTCAACTGAATATCGTTCTCTATATGATGGGAAACTCTTTCTGAAATAAATGCTTCAGATATTCCCCTAAAGCAAAGTGAATAAATTTCTTTCTTCTGTCATTAATGCACACACTATATATCTGTCTATATATTTTAGGTTTCTTTTTTAAAATTGATACTCTTTTCTTTTGTACTTTATTATATATCTCAATGGTGTAATTCATACAAGTTATAGATGTCATAAAGAAACTATGCTCTTAAATCAGAGAGATGGGGGAGACAGACAGAGAGACAGAGAGGATCTAATCTTCCAGGTAAAGTATATAAGGATACACAAAATTTTGGATGTATACTTTGGATATACAAAATTGCTTCTCCCTTTACGCATCCAAAGTACATTATTAAATATAATATAGCCATAGACATACTTTGTCAGGGTTTCTAATGAGAATTCTTGAAAGGAATTAGGGATGTAAGAATTCCTAATTACTCTCATTCAACTTGCCCAAGGTACTATACCCAAGAAATGAAACAATATCTTGGAATTAACATTTTAAAATCTTATTATTTATTCCTTATTGTCTACCAGAGGATCTAAATTGTACAGAGAGAACTATTAGGGCTCTGAGCAAATCCATCTTCACACACAGACTATCTATATGTTTTCAGTCAAAAGTTAATAGCTGAAATCTGCCTCCCACCTCAATTTCTGCTATAAGTGTGCTTGGCATACAAAATGTCAAAACATGGAGAAAATTAGAAGACAGAATAAGAGATCTATCATTATTTAGAAATAATCATTTAGGTGGGGAAAGTAAGAATGATCATCAGACCCAAACAGAATCTTCCAAGAATGAAAAACCACTGAAGGTTTTTTAAACAAAGAATGTTATGGGTTCAGAGACACCTTAGATAAAAATGAAGAATTACTTACTAAGCTTGTGTTGGTGAAGAAAGTGGATGTTCCCTAAACTTCTGTTCACTATAATTACCAAGTGTCATGGATACAAATTCTCCAATTATAATTTCATCTGAGAGACCTGAAGGATGTGTGGAAACTTTTCGCTGATAAGGATCTTTTAGAGTCAAATGTTTTCTGAAGGAATGGTTGAGCTTTACAAGCAGGAAGATTAGAAAAAGAGCTAGGAGCTCTTGAGGCAAGCCCCACCCCAATCTTACCACCATGATAAAAAAGCACCCAGCACCTTGATCAAAAGTTCAGGAAATAAAAGTGAATAATTGTGCTGTTGTCAAATGTGGATCAAAGAGTGATATTAAAAAACAACCTTTTGGCAGGGCTTTTATGCAGTAAGCACAACTTGTCAGAGCTGAAATGGCTTTGCAGTCATCGATATTCTACCTCTCACAATTTCCTTCCATTAATCACTATCATTATGCCAGTTGTAGGGCATCAAATCCCTGTTGATAAAGAAAATGATCTCAGCATAAACTCTGTATTATATACCATCCAAAGTGACTTTGTTTGAGTTAGATGACATTTATTTATTTGTGCCACATATTTATAACTTTTCCCATAAACAACTCAAGGGGCAAACATATACAACCTATCTTCCTCCTCCTATTTTCCCTAAACAGCAACCCTGTGAGGTGACAGGCTGATAGAGAGCAACTTGCCCAAGATCATCCAGCTGGCTTTAATGGACTAGAACTCATGGTATCCTGATTTCTAGCCTGATGCCTTAACCACTAGACCAGGCACACTGACTGAGGAATTCTGGGAGTTGAAGTCCACAAGTCATAATAGGGCCAAGTTTGAAGACCCCTGCACTAGACCATACTGGCTCTTATAAATTGAGTAAGTAAATAAATCAGCAATAAAATGCTTCTCTTCCCTCATTCTTCCACTGTGGGAATTAACAAGCCTTTCCATTTTTGCCCATATAGGATTCTTACTGCTGTCAACATATGTAATAAATTTCCATTTTTTTCCCCAAATTCTTCATCCAATAGTTCTAAAAGAAAATCTTCTGGTTTCAATTTTATACAGTGGTACCTTGGTACTTATCCTTAATTGGTTCCAGTGAATACCAAACAATGAGTACCAAACAAATTTGGAATAATATAGTGAGTCACAAAGCAGCTGACACCAACAATGAGTACTGAGACAAGATTTTCACATCAAAATGTGTTGAGTATCAAATTCAATGAATTTCAAAGCAGTTGAGCGGGGTGTGGTTTTGCTAGGATGCATCTGGCCTGGGGGCAGCAGTTTGACATCCCTGCTCTCTATAATGACATTAGCTAATTTTTTCTTTTAACAACCTTGCAATCCCTTGCATCAGGGTGGAGTTGGAGCAACTGAATGGAGCTCAAGTGTTTACTGGCCAGATGCCCTGCCTGATGTCTATGCAGAGTTCGCAGCAGACAATTACTCATTGTGCCCAGAGAGAGAAATATCTGCCACTACATATACGATCAACCCACAGCCTCCTGATTATGAGAAGAGAGCTCTACCTCTAGGTCACTTCACCCCTCAATGACATTAGCTATTTAGTTGTGGCCAATTGTAGAACATCAGAGCAAGATCAAAGCCTTCCAGACAACTATTCAGCCACCATGATAGAGCAGTAGTCAGCAGCTGTATGTGTCTCTTTCAGCAATGAACAGGAAAAAAATGGTGACAGGAAGTTGCCCAGGAGTCCAGGGGGAGGGAACAGCCACACCCAATCTTAATGAGTTAAGTAGCTGGTACCTACAAAGTGGTCTCCATTCTGCATAGTTCATCCAATTGCCCTTTTATTAGAAGAGTTTTCTAATAAAACTACAGAGTTTCTTTTTCCAATATGACCATTTCAGCAAAGCGATGGGCAGAAGAAATAAGTATTTTTTATGAATTAGGAGGTTGTGAGAGGAGAAGGGAGAATTTATCTCTTCCTCCTTTTAACCAGCATTGCTTTCTTTGGATAGGAAAAGCAAGACTCGGTTCTCCAAATCTGTTATGATCCCAAGATCATTTCTTTCTTGCTTGATGAGGAGTAGCCAAGAGATGGGTTTGGACCATATAATTTCTTCAACTGGAAAAATAGTTGAATAGCTTTGAGAAAGAGGTTTGCCTACCTCATAGTTATCAGAATTAATTAATTAATTAAACTTGTTTTTGGGGAAAGCACAGAACATTTAAACACTTAACAATTTAATTTTAATATTAACAACAACTTCATGAGGCTCAGTAGGTTGCATTATGAATCACTCCAATGATAATTATTGTAATCTACAACTTTAGTTATGCATAAAACCAACAGAGACTCTCTTTCATTGTTGCAGGCAAAGTGCTGTGATGAAGATATGCCTGCACATCACATTGGAGCCAAATTCCTTTGGCATTCAAAAGGACTCACATACTTTGCCATGTGTTTCTACTCTCTGTCCTTATCCTCCAGGCTTCTTTCAGCAAGACCTTTAACCCCATGTGTGGTGACAAAAGACATTTTAAGCTTAATTTCCCTGCCCTCTCCAATGATATAATCATTGGAGAATTTGTGTCTACTATATATCCTGAATTGCCTTTACTCCACTTTGTGGAACACCCAGAAGGATCCTTGCGTGGAAAGCAAGTACTCATTGGAAAGAAACCTTTCAGGTTTTTTTTTAATGTGATTGAATTCAAGAGATTCACTTTAAAATTTTTCCACTGTAGATGAGAATCAAAACTGGTTTAGGCATGATTCTTATTTATAAATCTCTCTTAGTCAGGTGCTAGAATATAGCTGTTGAATGTAGCCTTGTAGATTCCTGGTTTTTCATGTGGCTGTTGCTACACAAGAATTAATCTGATCATAAAAAAAACTCCTAAGTTTAATTTTAACAATATTGTTCCTCTATTTTTTATTTGTATGCAAAAAGAAAAAGAATCCTTGTTAAAAATATCTAGCATGATATTTTATTAAAATTTATAAATATATATCTATGATTCTCATAATATATAATGACATCATTAGGATTTTATCATTTATTCCTTATTTGCAAACACTTCTATATACCAAGACTTTTATTTTAAATAGATTATGGTTGCTTGAGATTTCTATTTATCATGCAGTATGTCTCCTTAGTACTTTAAGGCATAGAAAGGTGGGTCATTTTTAAATATATGAGTGTGATCAAATGTTACAGTACATTGTGAGTATTTGGATTGTCTTAACAGTTGGCACAATTCATCAGTTTCTGCCCTCCAATTCCATTGCTATGCTACACATAAGAAATAATCCTTTTAATTGCATTAAAACCCTGTTTTAAACTTCTCAAAGTATGATGCATAGATGACCACATGATCCTCAAGTGATATTCAGACATTCCAACAAAGCTCCTCATTCCATGCTTTCCTCACCTCTGGAATATCTTAACTACTGAAATTTAAGAATGAAGGTTTTATTCTTTTTCAAAGAAGTGCTTCAGAACATAGGTGCACTCTTCACTTCTCTAATACTCATTAAAGCAGACAAATACATCATTTTAGGTAAAGAGAAAAGCATTATCAAGAAGTCTATCTAAATCCAATCCTTGTCACATTCTAAGATTGTAGAACTAACTGAAACTCTTCTTACAGGCTGTTGCCTAAAAACCTACAGCATATCCTAGCCTTCAGTTTTGCCATTCAGGAGATCAACATGAATGAGAACTTGTTACCCAACATCACCGTGGTCTCCAAGGTCTATGACAATGGTTTTCAAGCACTGAAAGCCTCTGAGAACCTTTTGACTCTTTTCTTTGTTGAAGGCCGTTGTCCCCTCAATTACAGGAGGGGAAAGGAGCAAAACATCATGGCTGTCATTGGTGATCTCCCTTCCCAGAACACCATACAGATGGCCAACATATTAAATGCCTACAAAATTCCACAGGTAGGTATCCGGGCTCACATAAATGCACAAGAAAGGAAAGAGTGGTGGTTAAAAGTGGAGAGAACCCCTCAAAAACAGCTGCAATATTGGGGAACTGATTTGGGGTAGTTTTTACTTATTTATTTATCTTTCCAGAGAAATGTAAGGTATCAATTACTATTACAACCACAGTAATTCTTAATAAGCACAAACATATTTAGTTTGTAAGAATTGGTGTAGGTATCATTGTTTCTGTCTTCTTCTTCTTCTTCTTCTTCTTCTTCTTCTTCTTCTTCTTCTTCTTCTTCTTCTTCTTCTTCTTCTTCTTCTTCTTCTTCTTCTTCTTCTTCTTTATTCTTTGGGTGTTGAGAGAGATACAAAATTCTGGTTCTTGCACTTCTGGTGTGCTCAACCATTGTTAATTGATGCTGTAATAATATGTCTGATATTGTCTCTCCATCTTCTGGGTGTGCCTCAAGTTCTTTTACTTTCTCCTCTTTCTGTAAATGCCACAACAATGTTAAATACATTTATCAGTAAAGCACTAGTTATCTTAGCCTTATTATATAAAATGCTAGATGAATACTCTCAGATACTGTCAGGTCCTTAATGAATAAGACTCCTCTCTTGTTACTCATTCCTCTCTCCTCTCTATTTCTGGTTAGCACAATCAAAGACTGAGATGATTTTTGTCCAAAAAGTGTTGAATGGAATGCTAATGATGGTCTGGTTGCAAAAGCTCTGAGGAAAGATTTGTTGAGCTCCAGATTTGGTATTTGTCTCACCCATCAAGATTTTCTATGGAAAAACAGTGTCCCAAAGAAATGTACTTTTCCATTTTTTGATGCAATATTTAGTCTAAAAGTACATCGTTATTATTCCTTCTCTGCATCTTAGTTATGGCTCTTTTGACCTTGCATTGAGTGATAAAATGCAGTTTCCTTCTTTCTTCTGGATGACTCCTAATGAAAACCTTCACTATGTTGGGATTATTCAGCTCTTGAAACATTTTGGATGGAATTGGATTGGCCTTCTCATCCCAGAAGACACCACTGGAGAGAGATTTTTCAGAATTCTGAGGCCAAAATTAATTCAGAGTGATATTTGCATTTCTTTCATTCAATTTATTCCAAGACTGATAAATTATGAGCCCAGTACCTTCCGGAAGAATAATCTAAATAACATAGCACTTTTCCTATGGTATAGTAAAATCAATGTAATACTTGTTTATGGAGACATGCAATCTATAGAAGGCTTACGAGTAATTCTTGAATGGTATGAAATTAGTAACAGTCTCCCATTAGAGCGGGTTTGGATCATAAGTGCTTTGTGGGATGTCACTTCCGTCTTTGAGCCCCAGAAATTCACAGCATTGTCCTTCAATGGCAGCTTGTCTTTCGCCCTTCACACAAATATGGTACCAGGCGTTCAAGAGTTCCTTGAGAACCTAAATCCATTTCACTCTAAAATGTATTTCCTACCTCAGTTCTGGGGTGCTGCATTTACCTGTTCATTTCCAACGTACAATATATATGCACAAGGCAAAGGAAGCTGCACTGGGAAGGAGGATCTGGGGAGTCTCCCTGGAACTGTCTTTGAAATGGAGATGTCTGGTCAGAGCTACAATATTTACGATGCTGTGTATTCTGTAGCCCAAGGTCTCTATACCATGTATTCACCCAGAACCAGGAAGAAGACAATGGACAAAGGAGAGAAGTGGAATTTTCTGAAAGTCCAACCTTGGCAGGTGAATTATGGTGCCTCCTAATGTAATGGAAATGTAGCTTTAATCGCATATTGATTTCAATTTTTACAACATTCATTAACAGTGTATTTTTACTCCAGTCCCATCTGCATTTATCTGAAAGTTTCTGGTTGAACAAAACATAATTTTGTTTAGATTACAGAAGATTACTTGCTGAGCCCGAGGGTGGGGTCAAATGCATCATCAGTTTCGTGTCTCTATACCCCCATAAAAGACCTAAGTCCCGCTCCCTTGACTTTTCTTTGGTACCAATTCGCCTTGACCATTAGTAGTTCATATTGCTATTTATAGGTATAATGAAATAAACTTGTACGACTTATGAACTCAATTCTGGTTCCTGATTTCTTGCACCTGACAGGTAGGCATGCAACAAGTAACAATACCAGGTTCTTCATTTAGCTATTCCATTAGAGTAGAAGAATTATATATCTAATATATATTTTAAATTGCTCTTTATAATTTTTAGTTGTCTAGACACTTGGTGGTAACCTCTGAAAGTGCTTATTCCTTGTTGCAATTTTGATTTTTTTTTTACAGATATTATTTTAGCTATATGGAAGTAATTTTTTCCCCAGAGGCCTTTTGCTCTGTTTCCAATCTTCAATCCAAAAAATTCTCAAATCCAGTAAAAGATTACCTTTTTTGCAGCATTTTGTGGCTGAGTAGAGAAAACAATTTACTGCAGTAGAGAGAAGAAAGAATTTCTGCAAAATAATAATAATGGAATGAAGTTGGAGGCAGGGTTATGATAGAATGAGAATACTTACCTTTCTCTAAGATATGTTTGGTGTAAACTGATTTAATCTGCAAAAGCCATAAAGGAACTTCTTAATCATGTTTTCTGGGACAGGATTCCAATAAATATGTTTTGTTATGATATCCATTAGATATAATGCGCAGCCACAAAGAGTCAAGCCATTTTCCAAAGCACATGAAAGCAGAACAAAAAGCAATGGTTGGAAATTAATCAAGGAGAAAACCAACTAAACCTAAGGGGAAATTTCCTGACAGTTAGAATAATTGATCAGTGGAACGGCTTTCCTTCCGAAGTTGTGGGTGCTCCGACACTGGAGGTTTTTAAGAAATTGGGCAGGCATTTGTCTGAAATGATCTAAGGTCTTCTGCTTGAGCAATAGGTTGGAGTAGAAGACCTTCAAGGTCGTTTCCAATTCTATTATTCTAATATTCTGCTTTTCTGTTATATTTCTTAGCAATAATTTTTGTCTCTCATGAAATGCAAAATTTGGAAGAGCAATCTATCTGACAAAATCTGTATTAATTACTTAAACTTAAAAAATGTGAACATATTCATGCAAAGTGGAATTATGCCTTTCAACACAAAAAATATTAACTAAAATGTTTGGAAGTTCATTAAAAATCAAGCTCAGCATCATTTGGTAAATCACAGCATGGAACTGTAAATCCTATTGCCTACTATCAGCACTAATTTCTCACTTATCTCTCTTACCTTTTAGCTTTGTTTATTTCTGACAAAACTCCATTTCAACAATAGTGCTGGGGAAGAAATAGTTTTCAATGAGAATGGAAACCTGGCAGCAGCATACGATATCATCAACTTGATTACTTTCCCCAATCGATCCTTTCAGAAGGTCCAAGTTGGACATATTGAACCTCAGAGTTCTCAGAAGGAAGACCTCACCATTAATACAACTGCCATTGTATGGAATCCCAAATTTAAGCAGGTGAATTTTAAAAAAACAACTAAAATGGTGATGTTTTCTCAATTTCTGGAATTTTAAACAAGTCAACTCAGAGCGGTTCCAAGGTCATTTGAAATCTTCCTAATGATGTTAGAACAATTTTGTATCCTGGAAAAATGAAGCAATTCTCAATTCTACATTATACTTTCAGATTGTGGGGAAAGAGAGCTTTGCTGGCTGGGGTTATGGACCATCTGGGTCCAGAGGACTTTCCCACTAATGGGTTTATCTGACTGTTTAGTCGATGGTTGAATCAGTTTGAGAACCAAAGCATGAAAACGGTCAGCATATCTATTCACCACTTCAGCCTAACCTACACATCCCATCTCCCTGGAGTTTTGCAGGGCATGTTTCTGTTGCCACTCACAGTTTTTGCTTCCCATAGCCAATTCAAAAACCTGGGGAGAGCTGCTGGCAATTTTGATACAGTGGTTTTTTCAAGTGATGTGCTTTGAAAAAGTATAGTACAGGGGTAGGCAACCTTGGCTCTTTTATGACTCATAGACTTCAACTCTCAGAACTCCTGAGTCAGCTGTGCTATGTATACAGCTATGCTGACTCAGGAATTCTGGGAGTTGAAGTCCATGAGTCATAAAAGAGCCAAGGTTGCCTTCCCCTGGTATAGTAAATTTACTATAGTGAATAGCTTTTCAGCAGGCACTGATACTATGCATTTTGAAATACAGGCAAGATTGGACTAATGTGCTATCCCATTTTATTGCTCATCACAGAATAGGAGAGATTAATTGGACATCTACCAAAGCTGACCATCGCCCCAAGTCTTGCGCTCACCACACCTGCATTTACTTCCCTGATTGACATAATTTGTTCTTGTATGGTAGCCTCTGCGGTGGTAATGCCCCCTTGCACATCTCAGAAGCTGCATTCTACTGCTTGTGAAATACTTTGGATATACTGTATGTCAGGCTGTGCCATGTGGTTGGTCTTATACCTTCCTTCTTCCTTTCTCTCCCCACCGTGTTGCACAGACATCTTGTGACAAATGATTGTGGGCACCCATTCTGCTTGAATTGTTCATGTAGGTACCTGCTCTCCAGCTGTTTGTCTTGCTGGGTACTACAGTGGCTTTTCACCTTGCCATATAGTGTTCTGATGCAACATTGTTTGTGTGACAGTGGATGGTTGCTTTGAAATTCAGAATCTGTAGAGTGTTGGTAGCCTTGTGATAAACTGTGGTTTCTAGGTATCCCAAAGATGCTTGGATGAGAAGCAAAACATCTTCAAAGAAAAACAACAAGTCCTGTTGTCTCATAAAAAAGCATATTTGGGATAAGTATGACCTGGTGACTTAGAATCTCCATAGACATTTAGCTGTAGTTTCTAGGCATCCATCTTCTGTGTTTACAAATGGTAATTGCCTAGCTGTTTCTTCCTCCATTGTGAACTATACTTTAAGGAAGATGGAGTGCATCTGTAAGTGCATTTCTCTTGATGATGACAAATATCTCATCCATATAGTGGCACCAGAATTTAGGTGTGTAGTTCTGAAATGAATGGTGTTATAATTCATGCAGGACTGTTTCTGTAATGACTCTCTCATGGTTCCGACAGAGTCATGAATAAAGCAGAACTCCGAGGCTTGAAACTTTCTCTAAGAACATGTTTATTAGTTACAAAGTATTGGCATGCTCAAGTGTGAAACCAAGTCTGGATGCATACATAACAATTCCCCAGTAAAAAGTTAGCAATCCCACCCATAAAGCTATGCAAGCAACTACATTCCCCAATGCAGCTATTTGGTGGGCTTTTTCCAAAATGCCCAGCCTGCAGGCTCGGGAACAACTGATGACCTTGGTTTCCACAGGACAAAAGATTATTATGACTAGAGAAACACCTGGGCAACACCCTCCTCCCTCCATTCTATGTAGCAATGAGCAGGAAAATGGCTATAACCTTGCTCAGTCGCAGTGCTGACAGACTCCTGATATTGATCAGACAAGGAGACCAGAACTCATTGGTGGCCACACACTGCAATGAACAAGGACACACATTCAATTTTCAGCTATTAAGATTGTTTGACAAGCAGGCACAAAAACAGCCAGGGAAGTGATTGAAACCTGGGAAACAGGCCCCTGGTCAGTCAATAGGAGTGCTGATTTACATCTAGCCTAGTAGTTAGAAGGTGAGGACTGGGCAGCACAAGCAAATGACAGCTAATGACTTAAAAGCCAGTCATCAACATCTAAAAAGCCACTTACCACAGGCACTATAAATACCACACACAGAACAGCACATACTATGCTAGAGAGAAGTTCCCTGAAGATGGGTTCTAGCACAAGTCCGAAAGCTCAGAATACAAAATCTCAGGTCCCAGGTACCAAGAGCAACATTATCCTGGGACATATAAATTGGCCTTCATTCGTGAGTAAATTTACTATACATGGAGAATCAGGATACCACTGTTGAATGGCAATGCAACACAGATAATTGAAAAAGGTTAGCAAATGCTAGGCAGGAATATATTTGCCATCAGATCAATGAATGGAGGAAGACTAAATATGGATGTCATTACCAACTAAAGTTGTCAGAAATTCAACAACATTTTCCATATAAGTTTATTTCTTATTATTATTCAAATTAAAATAGCTCATTAAATTTGTGAGAGATTCTTTTATGACCCTCTTCAGGACATTTCAAATTCCTTTATGTATGATGTAGGTGTTGTGAAGGGTTTTCTATCCAAATTTTCAACAGCAGTTAGAAGATGTTCACCTCTACCCTGACTGAATCTAGCAATCAGTTCTAGGAATTTAAAAATTTGCATTAATGGAAATTACAAGAATATGATTGCTTTAGGATTTATTTACAGCGAATAACTGCTGACTGATTGAGTAAAAAATAGATTATAACCAATTTTAATTATTTTCTTTTGCCATTCCTATTAGACACCACCTTCTGCCACCTGTGTAGAAAGTTGCTATCCTGGGTACCGGAAATTAATTAAGGAGGGGAAACAGGTTTGCTGCTATGACTGTGTCCAATGTTCAGAGGGGAGCATTTCCACCATGATGAGTAAGAAAAAAGGTCTATAGTATATTTCTTTAAAAATACATTATTCTCTAATCAAGTTCAGTTCCTGAGTATAGTTTTAAAGAAAATGATAGATTGATTTGGATCTCTCATCTGTCTTGTTCTCTTTCTCCTTTTTTAAGTATAAACTTTTCTTTATTTTCTTTATTTCTTTATTTTCTTCAGGAAACGTGGTTATTGAATACAAAAATAAACTTTAAGAAAGATTTTCCTAAAGCATAATTTTTAAAAGAGATTTATTCTCTTTATATGAAGCCAATTCTACTTATCAGATTCAAGAGGTAGCATGGAAACCTGCTCAGAATACAACTATATTTTTATATGAGAAGATTCCAAAACGTTTCAGCAAGGAATAATTGTTAAAACTTAATATCAATTCAATGTGTAGACTTTTTAAAGATCTTATTTATGATTTTTAGATTCCAAGCAATGTGAGAAGTGCCCAGAAAAACAATATCCAAATGAGAAACACCATCAATGTATTCCCAAAATTATCACCTACTTATCTTACAAAGAATCCCTGGGAGGAATCCTGACTAGCTTTGTTGTTTCTTTTGCTGTAATCACAGTTGTGGTGCTGGGGACATTTATCCGCCACCAAAACAATCCCATTGTCAAAACCAACAATTGGCATATCACGTGCACCCTGCTTTACTCACTCCTGCTATGTTTTCTCTGCTCCTTTCTCTTCCTCGGATGCCCAGGGACAGTCACATGTCTACTCTGCCAAGCAGTTTTTGGAGTTGTCTTCTCCACTGCAGTATCTTGTGTGTTAGCCAAAACCATCACTGTGGTTCTGGCCTTCATGGCCACAAAGCCAGGGAACCGCATGAGGTGGTGGGTAGGGAAAAGGCTGTCTGTCTCAGTCATTGTTTTTTGCTCACTTATTCAAACAAGCATCTGTGCTGTGTGGTTGACCCTTTCTCCTCCTTTCCCAGAGTTGGACATGCATTCCCAATTGGATGAGATCTTAGTGCAATGCAACGAAGGCTCAGAGATCATGTTTTATGTTGTGCTGGGCTACATGTGGCTTTTGGCCCTCATCAGCTTCATAGTGGCCTTCTTTGCCCGGAAGTTACCCGACAGTTTCAATGAAGCCAAACTCATCACCTTCAGCATGCTGGTCTTTTGCAGTGTTTGGGTCTCCTTTGTGCCCACCTACTTAAGCACTAAGGGGAAATCCATGGTGGCTGTGGAGGTCTTCTCTATCTTGGCCTCAAGTGGTGGCTTATTAGGTTGCATTTTTATGCCCAAGTGCTATATTATCATGCTGAGACCAGAGCTGAATACCAGAGAGCAGCTAGTTAGGAAAAAGACTAGTGTGGTTTCAAGTGCCGCATAAATGCTGACCTAATTCCAAATTTAGTTGAAGAGAACATAATACATGATTGGCCAAAGAATTTTATTCAGGAATAGATGTCTTCTTCCATTTTTTTAAAAAGCAATAACATTTAGATTTGTATACAGCTCCATCGCAATTTCAGCACTCTCTGCATGGTTTACCATGTAAGCATTACTTGCATATTGCTCCAAACAATTTGGGTCCTCATTTACCAACCTTGGAAGTTTGGAAGGCTAAGTCAACCTTGAGCTTGTCAGGATCAAGCTACAGGCTGTAGGCAGATGTTGCATGCAATACTGTCTTCCAACACTATGCCACAAAGGCTCTTAATGTAAGAAACATCATATATATGTGATAGCAGGGGAAAAAGTGTGCAATACTTCTTCTGGATGAAGACGTCTTTGTCTTTGAACAATAAATTGGGAACTACATTCAGAAATATAGTGGCTAGGATATCCAAAATTAATCTTATTTATTTAATAAGATTTTGTCTTCTTTATATTGAATTACAATAAAATGATAATATGATTTATAGTCATGTATTTATGTATCTTTCTAACACATTTTTGTTTTAATATCATATTTTAAATTTCAGGATATAGGGATCAGATTCAAAATTTTGGAAAATGCAAACACCTCAGAATGTTATGCTCTGCTATAAAACATGATGAGTTAGACCATCCAAATTACTTCTCTACTTGTGGAAACATTTTCTGCCTGGGTATTTTAACAAAATAGTGATTTGTTATTAGCAATTTTACTTCAGCTTACAATATTTATGCAATTTTATTATATTGTCAACACATGTTCTTTGCCATCTTGTCGCTTATTTTATTTATTTTTTATTGAATTTATAAAGCTACCCACCACACATGGAAGAGAAATCTCAGTGATGCACAACTAATTTTAGGGATGAAGAATGTTCCATAATCAGGATAACACAGCAGAGAAGTTACATTTCATAGGAACCACTAAATACATGTCCCTATCTGATGGGCGCCACAGCATGCATCCTCTAGTCCATCTGATGAGGTGACCTGATGTAATCAGGGAGAGGCGGTCCATAAAATAGCCTGGCCCCATGTCACGAAGGAGTCATGTTTATTGCTTATTCTTTTTTTATTGTATTCCTCCTAGCATTACATTGTTTGAGTTGGGTGACCTTATAAATTTAATAAACAAATACATCAACAAAGAAAAGATGTTGATAGGATCCTCACAGAGGATGTGGCTTTCTTTCATTTCAATAGAAAAATAGATATTGAGAATCAAAAGTATAATATGCTTGATGAGGAAAAAAAGTGATAATTAAAACAAAAATAGACCATCTGCACATCTCATCTTGAGGCAGGTAAATGAGGGATAAGGCCAACTGTGATTTCTCTATAGCACAGAAACTTACAAAGGTAGATTTCAGATGCCCATAAATGAGGTTCTGAATGTACGCAATTGATTATGGGCCAACCTCAGTGAAAAGAAAAGGAAATATAAGTCTATTGTTAAGTATATAATGGAAGGGGGAAGGGTTTTCTATTCACAGATTGGCATAATTTAACTATCAGGCAATGTCCATGCCAAGAAAGCCACCATGACATTGATGATCCCAGCACAATGATCTCTGAGACATCTCTTACATAGTCGTATGAGTTATCTATCTGGGCATGGATATCAGATGTGGAAAAGAGTGCAAGCTGACTCTTCAAAGCACAATTGTTGATGTGATGGAATGAACAGATCATGAAGACTAAAATAGAAATAGAAATACAAGAATATGATTGCTTTAGGATTTATTTACAGAGAATGACTGCTGACTGATTGAGTAAATCATTAGACAACACCTTGTGCCACCTGTGTAGAAAGTTGTAGAATTAATTCTGTGTAAGAATTAAACAACTTCCACCTCCATTAAAGGACTCCACCAATATTCTAGCCTGAATGACTGAAGAAGGAACCAATTCTTCAAGATTTCTAGAAAGTCCACATGGTTGGGACCCTCTGAATTTGAAAAGAAGCTTCACAGTACAGAAGACATATGTCCAGACTTTTAGACTTTGTCCATGCCAAGAAAGCATGGAGTGCAAGCTGACTCTTCAAAGCACAATTGTTGATGTGAAGGAATGAATAGATCATGAAGACTAAAATAGAAATAGAAATTACAAGAATATGATTGCTTTAGGATTTATTTACAGAGAATGACTGCTGACTGATTGAGTAAAAGATTATAGCCAATTTTAATTATTTTCTTTTGCCATTCCCATTAGACAACACCTTGTGCCACCTGTGTAGAAAGTTGTAGAATTAATTCTATGTAAGAATTAAACAACTTCCACCTCCATTAAAGGACTCCACCAATATTCTAGCCTGAATGACTGAAGAAGGAACCAATTCTTCAAGATTTCTAGAAAGTCCACATGGTTGGGACCATCTGAATTTGAAAAGAAGCTTCACAGTACAAAAGACATATGTCCAGGATCCCACTCGGTATCATTCTTTCACAAAATGGATCCAGAATTTCCCAACCTGCCAGAAGTGTGACACCACTGAAAACAGGCAGCCCTGCACATTACTATGTATCATGTAGTAGTTTAAAAATGACAAGCAACATTTGATCAAGAGCATCCTGTCATATTGCATTACAGTCTGGTTTGGAAGCATTACTGCTTCAGACTGGAAGGCTGTGCAGAGAATGGTGAGGATGGCAGAAAAGATTATTGGCAGTCTCCTTCCTTCAATCCAGGACATAGCATATAAGCATTGCTTGAGCAGGGTCCGCAATATTGTCTGGAACACTACACATCCACTTCATAACCTGTTTTCCTTGTTACCTTCTGGGAGGAGGCTTTTGGGTATCCAAAACAGAACATCCAGATTAAGTCTTACTTTTGTTCCATATAGTATCAACCTTGTGAACTCTCAGCCTTCCTCTATATATATCATGTGTATATAGGTGTTATGCATGTGTATGGATAGATATATACTTTCTTTTGAGAGCAGGCAACAGAATTTCAGTTTTAATGTGGGCCAGTATACTCATAATAAAAAATGACAAATACAATTGCACTGCAAATCAGACACAGCTTCCACATGCTTTTGAAGGGCAGTTCCAAGTAAGTCCATTGCAATAGACCAACTCATAATGAGCATTGGATCCCAAATCAGCAATAAGTATAAATGGCACACCAGAAAAGTTTATGCAAAATTATCCTGCCTCACCCGCCTTTTTCTCAAAAAGAAGACCTAAACCGTATAAGCAACAGCCTCTTATCTTTCTGGATTTTCTTTTATTTTTGTGGGATTAGATTAATTTTAATAGCAGTCATCTCCTAGTGTCAACAGAAAGCAAAATATCTCAATCGATAAACTTCCTGTACACAAGACTGAACTTAATTTCTTTAATAGAGCCACCAACTATCTGCTTTGCAAAGAATCTTGGCCAATTTCCATTATTATTAATTTGATCAATAATTTTCATTTAATCATTGAAACAAAAAAAATTGAAGCTCCTTTTTAAATTTATTTTTATTTTTTGTTTCTGCACTATTGTATTTTCCTTTCTTTTTTCTTAATGTTAGTTTTTATGTTAGTTTAAAGTTTTTAATAATATATATATTAAACAAAATGAAGAACGTATCTTTATTCAGCAAAAAGCACACAATTAGCCTTCAGCCATTCTCAATTTTTTCATCTAACAAATGAGCCAATCTTACCTTAGAATCTTTCAGAGATTGTCTGCATTACGTCTACCCTGGCATTGTGCCTTTATTTTGAAGCTACGAATCTTAGCTTCTTCTTATGCAGTATCAATCATTTCTTTTCCTTACCATTTGCTCCTTTTTATTTAATTCAGGATGTATTATAATAATATAGCATTCGGGAAGGAAAATACAACTCAATAAACCAAAAGCAGAGGTTAAGATGGAGAAAATCTCCACGGCTACCATCAATTTGCCCTTGGTGCTCAAGTAGGTGGGGATGAAGGAAATCCAAACACTGCAAAACACCAACATGCTGAAAGTGATGAACTTGGCTTCATTGAAACTGTCAGGCAATTTCCTGGCAAAGAAAGCCACTGTGAAGCTGACAATGGCCAGAAGACCCATGTAGCCCAAGACAATGTAAAACATCATCTCTGAGCCTTCGTTGCATTTCACTAAGATCTCACCCACTTGGGAATGCTTCTCTAATTCTGGAAAAGGGGGCTTGTTCACTAACCAAACAGCACAGATGACAATATGAATCAAAGAACAAGGCACAATAACCAAAATTGCTAGCCTCTTTCCTACCCATTTCCTCATCTTGTTCCCTGGTTTTGTAGCCACAAAAGCCAGAACCACAGTGATCGTTTTGGCCAGTACACAGGAAACAGCAACAGAGATGGTGATACCAAACACAGCGTGCCTTAAAAGGCAGGTTTCCTTGCTAGGTCTTCCTATGAAGAAGAGGGAGCAAAGAAAACATAGCAGCAGAGAGGTGAGTAGGATACATGTGATGCTCCAATTGTTGGCTTTCACAATGGGAGTATTCGAGTGTAACCTAAAGATTGCCATAACAATAAGTGTGGTCAGAGAAAGAAAAAGTGCCAAAGATGTCAGAGCTGTTCCCAAGCCATCTTTATAGGACAGGTAAGCCATTACTTTGGGAATGCATTCTTGTTGATTTGTGTTAGGATACTGTTCTTCGTGGCAAGACTCACATTCATCTGCATCTGAAGATCAGAAGCATAAATTCAGTATTTGAACTTTGTACCAATATTTTTCATACTTCTTGCTCTTTATATATTATTTGATGTAGAAAAGTTAGTATTGAACTCTACAAAAGTCTTTTAAAATGATGATCCCCAATCTTTTCAGCTTTCTGGAACAGTAACAGTACCAGCAGTGGTGGGGAGAGGGAATAGTTTTGCACAAGCAATGGGTGAGCACACTCAGCTCCATTTGCATGAGCAGCAGGTGCATAAAGCTTACACAAATGGAGCTTCACATGTTCATACATATGCCTGCACACCACTTGCATGGCCCAGTTCTGAATAGGCACACCTTGGGGGTTGGGGTCCCTGATTTAAAAGCACAAATCAATATAAGAATAGCCTTTGAATACACTACTGAAGATCATAAACCATAATAAAGTCATTAGATGTATATGAGGGAGAAAGCACAAAATAGAAAATTTCTGGATGTTTTCCTAGATAGTTCTGAATTCTACACTTACCCATTTGTGTTGAGATCCTCCCTGAAGGAGGATCCTAAATTGAGATATGATGCAGTACTGAAAATTAGTGTTTTCGAAGTACATCAAGAATCGAAAAGGTTTTATTCAGCCAGAACATGGATGGTTAACTATAACAGCAATATTTTTCATCTGAATCTGAAACAAGACACTCATTCCAGGCTGTCTAAACTATGTAAGATGACAGAAAGGATTTTTTTTCCTTTTCTCTGAGAAAAGTCTGCCTATCAAATTCATTCTCCAGAGACTCACTTCTCCCATTTTTGAATGACGTGGATAAATATTTTGTTTCAAAGAAATTAGGCTATAGTCCGTTCATCACTTTTTTATTTCTACCTAAATAATAACTAACTTACATCTTTTCTGGAGCACTCCAGCTACAAGCAATTTAGGCCTTTTTACTCATTTGGGAGAAGTGGTCAATCCTTACTGTTTATTCCTCTTCTGATAGTGGGATTAAATATCTGGTTGTTTTTGCTAATTTGAGAAGGAACCAACCCAGAATGGATTAAATCAGGGCTTTTCAACCTTTTCACCCATTGTACCACTTTTACGATATGCCAGTAACCGAGTACCACCAGTCGCCTAGTAAGGTATCAAAAACTTGATGATCAAAAAGAAAAGAATAAAAAGGAAAAAAGTGATAAAGTACAGGTAGTCCTCGATTTACAACAGTTCACTTACTGACTGTTCAAAGTTACAATGGCACTGAAAAAACTGCCCCCCAAGCCACAGCCGAGCAAGACACCTGCCTGCCCAACTGGTGGAGCTCTTCCTCCTGTCTGAGGTTTTCATTGTTGTGAGCATTTCTGTTGAGGATTGGCAGCAGGGGTGGGGTGGGGGTGTGTTTGGTTTTTATCCCCCCACCCTCTGCTGGGTGGTTGCAGCAGGTTTTGGTCACTTCACATGACCCTGGGACATTGTGACCACCATAAATATGAATCAGTTGCCAAGCATCTGAATGTAAATCACAAGACCCTGGAGATGCTGCAACATTCCAGCTGATCTGTGCTTCTTCTGGGCTCAGCAGAAGTGCCAGGATCAGTGCTGCTTTCCAGCTGATTGATGCTTCTTCAGGGCTCAACAGAAGCACCAGGATCAGTGCCGAGCTCCAGCTGGAGCCTGCACTGATCCTGGTGCATCCACTAAGCCCTGACAGCCCCAAAGAAGTGCCAATCAGCTGGAAAGCAGCACTGATCCTGGCGCTTCCACTGAGCCCTGACAGCTCTGCCGCTCCAGCCATCTCTCACTCAGGCTTGTGCGGTGCTTCCACCAGTTCAGCTCATTCCCTTCCCCTGCTACCACTTTTATAGGATGGTCATGTACCACCTGCCAGGTGCCAATGTACTACAGGTGGTATCCATATCACTGGTTGAAAAGCCCTGGATTAAATTATCCATTTTCCCTATGGTGTTAAATTTAGCATCAATTTTAAATCAGTATCTCATTGGTGCATCTGGACTCTCAATTTCTAATTCACTTTAAATATTTTATAAGGTATCTCCATTCTCTCAACATTCTTCTAAAAACATTCACTTGCTTTTCTTTGCAGTTTCAAACGCTGGTTGTGTTTTCTTGTTTATCTCTGTTGTTACATCATGTATGCTTCTGTTTTAGTTCTCTTTTAGTTTTCTAAATTATTTTGGTTTTAATGAATTGACCAATTTACTTGTGAGTACCTGCCAGGGAGGAACATTTTGGAGATTCCATTGGCCTTGATTTCTGCTTTCCCTCCGTTTGTTCCTCCAGGAATACAAAGCATGGAGAGAATGTGCCACAAGATAAACAGCATTGTAGATGCTATAACTCCAACCAGACATCCCCATTTCAAAGACAAAATCAGGAAGGTTCTCCAGCTTCTCTTCCCCAGTGCAATTCCTCATTTTCTGTCCATAAACTATATGGATGTTGAGTGAGCAGAAGAATGTTGATGTCCAGAATTCAGACAGGAAATAAAATGTAGACTTCAGAGGATTTATTTTCTCAAGAAAATTCTGAAATCCTGGCACATCTTTGGTATGGAATGAGAATGATAGGGTTCCATTGAAGGATTTTTTGCTAAATTGTCTGGCAGGGTTCTGAGCAGTGAAATCCCATTCACATGTTGTGATCCACACCTTCTCCAGAGGCTTGTTATGGCCAATTTCCATTGAGTATAAAACCATCTGTAATCCTTCCAGAGACTGGACATTTCCATATACAAGGAACACATTGATTTTACTTTGGGAGATAACAGATTGAATTTGAAGGATTTTTTTCTCAAGTATCTCTCTTAATAAAAATAGTGACATAATTGGGATCATCTGTATCCCAGCTATGCAAATATTATTCTGTAGAAGCTTGGGTCTCAAAGTTCGAAGAAAGTTTTCACCACTTTCATCGTCTGAAACAATTAGACTAACCCAATTCCATTCAAAATATTTCAGAAGTTGAACTATTCCCATGTATTGAAAAGCTTCATTGGGAATCATTCGGTAGAAAGAAGAAAAACCAATTTTCTTTCTTAACATGGGGTCAGAGGAGCCATAACTAACCTGGGGAAAAACATTTTAAATCACAGAAAAACATTCAATTTTGTATACACTCTTTTTAAATGGCTGCTAATATTAGAAACAAATTTACTGGACATTCTTAAAAATCCACTTTAGTATATTGTTTGGTGAGTGGATGGACTCACTTACATTGCCCATGCGTGGTCCTTTTGAAGATGAGAAATACCAGTTAAGTAGCTTTCATATTTATGTGGTCACTAAGAATCAACATCAACTTGATGGCACATAGTCAGACAATCAATCAATCAATCAGTGTATTTAGTTTGAAATTCGGTGAAAAGGATATGAATGAAATTTGATTTCTCTAGTTTACATTTCAAGCTTGCAGTAAGCCAGGTCCTCAATTAGAAGTAGATGTAAAATGACATTTCAAACAATAGAAGAATTTACCTTTACCACTGAGACTTAACAGTTATTCTCCTTTTCCTTCTATATACCTATTTCCAAACATTTACCTGAGGAATCTTGTAAGTACTTAAGATGTTGGCCATGTGAATAGAATTTTCAGAGGTGAGTCCCCCAATGTTGGCCATGACTTCCTCTTCAGTGATACAGTAATAATTGAGTGGATCCCCTTTTCTTAGAAAGAGAAGATCCAAAGTGGTCCAAGTGGTTCTCCATGAATTGTACGCATTGTCATAAATCTGGGACCGTAATGTGTTGTTGGGTAATAGTGCGGGATTCTTATTGATTTCTTTGATGGCAAAAATAAAAGCAAGGACATGCTGGTAGTTTTTAGGGATTAGACTGCCAAGAGAATTTTGAATGTTAGATCTTAAGGGCTAATAATTAAGTGACTTGCAGCTTAGATCATCGCTTGCCCATAGAGCTCAACTGAATATCGTTCTCTATATGATGGGAAACTCTTTCTGAAATAAATAGTTCAGATATTCCCCTAAAGCAAAGTAAATAAGTTTCTTTCTTCTGTCATTAATGCACACACTATATATCTGTCTATATATTTTAGGTTTCTTTTTTAAAATTGATACTCTTTTCTTTTGCATTTTACTATATATCTCAATGGTGTAATTCATACAAGTTATAGATGTCATAAAGAAACTATGCTCTTAAATCAGAGAGATGGGGGAGACAGACAGAGAGACAGAGAGGATCTAATCTTCTAGGTAAAGTATATAAGGATACACAAAATTTTGGATGTATACTTTGGATATACAAAATTGCTTCTCCCTTTACGCATCCAAAGTACATTATTAAATATAATATAGCCATAGACATACTTTGTCAGGGTTTCTAATGAGAATTCTTGAAAGGAATTAGGGATGTAAGAATTCCTAATTATTCTCATTCAACTTGCCCAAGGTACTATACCCTACAAATGAAACAATATCTTAGAATTAACATTTTTTAATCTTATTATATATTCCTTATTGTCTACCAGGGGATCTAAATTGTACAGAGAGAACTATTAGGGCTCTGAGCATATCCGTCTTCACACACAGGCTATCTATATGTTTTCAGTCAAAAGTTAATAGCTGAAACCTGCCCCCCACCTCAATTTCTGCTATAAGTGTGCTTGGCATACAAAATGTCAAAACATGGAGAAAATTAGAAGGCAGAATAAGAGATCTATCATTATTTAGAAATAGTCATTTAGGTGGGGAAAGTAAGAATGATCATCAGACCCAAACAGAATCTTCCAAGAATGAAAAACCACTGAAGGTTTTTTAAGGAAAGAATGTTATGGGGTCAGAGACAAATGAAGAATCACTTACTAAGCTTGTGGTGGTGAAGAAAGTGGATGTTCCCTAAACTTCTGTTCCCTATAATTACCAAGTATCATGGATACAAATTCTCCAATTATAATTTCATCTGGGAGATCTGAAGGATGTGTGGAAACTTTTCGCTGATAAGGATCTTTTAGGTTGAAATGTTTTCTGAAGGAATGGTTGAGCTTTACAAGCAGGAAGATTAGAAAAAAAGCTAGGAGCTCTTGAGGCAAGCCCCACCCCAATCTTACCAACATGATAAACAAGAACCCAGCACCTACCACCCAAAGTCACTTTGTTTGAGTTAGGTGACATTTATTTATTTGTGCCACATATTTATACCTTTTCTCATAAACAGCTCAAGGGGCAAACATATACAACCTATCTTCCTCCTCCTATTTTCCCTAAAAAGCAACCCTGTGAGGTGATAGGCTGATAGCGAGCAACTTGCCCATGATCATCCAGCTGGCTTTAATGGACTAGAACTCATGGTATCCTGATTTCTAGCCTGATGCCTTAACCACTAGACCAGGGGTCTTCAAACTTGGCCCTTTTATGACTTGTGGACTTCAACTCCCAGAATTCCTCAGCCAGGCACACTGATTGAGGAATTCTGGGAGTTGAAGTCCACAAGTCATAACAGGGCCAAGCTTGAAGAACCCTGCACTAGACCATACTGGCTCTTATAAATTGAGTAAGTAAACAAATCAGCAATAAAATGCTTCTCTTCCCTCATTCTTCCACTGTGGGAATTGACAAGCCTTTCCATTTTTGTCCATATAGGATTCTTACTGCTGTTAACATATGTATTAAATTTCCATTTTCTTTTCCAAATTCTTCATCCAATAGTTCTAAAATAAAATCTTCTGGTTTCAATTTTATACAGTGGTACCTTGGTACTTATCCTTAATTGGTTCCAGTGAATACCAAACAATAAGTAAAAAACAAATTTAAAATAATATAGTGACTCACAAAGGAGCTGACACCAACATGTTTTACCTCAATGAGTACTGAGACAAGATTTTCACATCAAAATGTGTTGAGTATCAAATTCAATGAATTTCAAAGCAGTTGAGTGGGGTGCGGTTTTGCTAGGATGCATCTGGCCCAGGGCCGGCAGTTTGACATCCCTGCTCTATATAATGACATTAGCTATTTTTTTCTTTTAACAACTTTGCAATCCCTTGCATCAGGGTGGAGTTGGGGCAACTAAATGGACCTCAAGTGTTTACTGGCCAGATGCCCTTCCTGATGTCTATGCAGAGTTCTCAGCAGACAATTACTCATTGTGCCCAGAGAGAGAAATATCTGCTACTACACATAGGATCAAACCCACAGCCTCCTGATTATGAGAAGAGAGCTCTACCTCTAAGTCACTTCACCCCACCCCTCAATGACATTAGCTATTTAGTTGTGGCCAAATTGTAGAACATCTTTACATCTCTCCTGTGCTTCTACTTTACCTTTTGGTAAGATGCTGAAATCTTCCATTCTAACATGTTAAAGACAAAATGAGTGTTTAAGTAACAAAGTGGAAATATGTGTCAGTATAGTTGCATTCTCCAAAAATGAAAAGAACAGAAGAAGAGATAATTATTCTTTATACTTCTTCAAAAAAATCAAAGTAACAACTGGCAAATACAGTGGTACCCTAGTACTCATTGTTAATTTGTTCAGGGAAGCATGATGAGGACAAAAAACGATGAGTACCAAACAATGTTTTCTCATAAGGAATAATGGCAGCCAATGCTTAGAAGTTCAAACTTGTGCATGAAACAAACAATGAATACCACCACAAAATTTTCATTTTTCATGTTGAAATGTATTGACTACCAAATTTGATGAGTTTGAAAGTAGCTGAGTACCAAGGTACCACTATATACTTTACTTCCTTCATTCATTCATGGAAACTAATTCCTAAGAGAAGGGAGTGGTCAAACTAGCACTTTGCTGCTACGCAAAAAATTATACAACTATATCTGCATGGTCACTAAGATTTTGAGTGATAAAACTATGCTGGGTTATTTTAATGTTATTATTTCTATTGTATTTAATGCATGATTTATTACGTGTATGCCATTTTTTAAAGCCACTGAAATTTCTGGGTTTCTTTTTTCAATTAAAGCAATGTAAGAGTTTGGAATAATATAAAGCAACGTGCCTACCTAATATACCTCTTTGGTTGCCATTTTAAGAATTTTTTTTTTTTTAGAAAAACAATGACTATAAGACCAAACTGATGGACCTATTGAAATATGGTTTAGTCATAGTGAACCTAATTTCAAGCTGAAAGAAGAATTGCCATTCCTCATCCTTCACAGAGGATGGTGAGTTTTGATAGAGGACCAAGCCTCTTCTTTTCCACTGCTTCAGGCAACGATGCATGAGATCCCTCTCTCAAAACTCACCACCTCTTTCAAAGTGCATCAAGATCAAAGCCTTCCAGACAACTATTCAGCCACCATGATAGAGCAGTAGTCAGCAGCTGTATCTGTCTCTTTCAGCAATGAACAGGAAGAAATTTTGACAGGAAGTTGCCCAGGAGTCCAGGGGGAGGGAACATCCACAACCAATTTTAATGAGTTAAGTAGCTGGTGCCTACAAAGTGGTCTCCATTCTCCACAGTTCATCCAATTGGCCTTTTATTAGAACAGAGTTCTAATAAAACTACAGAGTTTCTTTTTCCAATATGACCATTTCAGCAAAGCGATGGGCAGAAGAAATAAGTATTTTTTATGAATTAGGAGGTTGTGAGAGGAGAAGGGAGAATTTATCTGGCTATTAAACTATCTCTTCCTCCTTTTAACCAGCATTGCTTTCTTTCGATAGGGAAAGCAGGACTCAGCTCCCCAAATCTGTTATGATCCCAAGATCATTTCTTTCTTTCTTTCTTGATGAGGGGTAGCCAAGAGATGCGTTTGGACCATAACATTTCATCAACTGGAAAAATAGTTGAATAGCTTTGAGAAAGGGGTTTGCCTACCTCATAATTGTCAGAATTAATTAATTAATTAAACTTGTTTTTTGGGAAAGCACAGAACACTTAAACACTTAACAATTTAATTTTACTATTAGCAACAACTTCATGAGGCTCAGTAGGTTGCATTATGAATCACTCAGATGATAATTATTGTAATTTAATACTTTAGTTATGCATAAAACCAACAGAGACTCTCTTTCATTGTTGCAGGCAAAGTGCTGTGATGAAGATGTGCTTGCACTGCTGTGATTGGAGCCAAATTCCTTTGGCATTCAAAAGGACTCAGATACATTGCCATGTGTTTCTACTCTCTGTCCTTTTCCTCCAGGCTTCTTTCAGCAAGACATTTAACCCCATGTGTGGTGACAAAAGACATTTTAAGCTTAATTTCCCTGCCCTCTCCAATGATATAATCATTGGAGAATTTGTGTCTACTATATATCCTGAATTGCCTTTACTCCACTTTATGGTACACCCAGAAGGATCCTTGCGTGGAAAGCAAGTACTCTTTTGAAAGAAACCTTTCAGGTTTTTTTTTAATGTGATTGAATTCAAGAGATTCACATTAAAATTTTTCCACTGTAGATGAGAATCAAAACTGCTTTAGGCATGATTCTTATTTATAAATCTCTCTTAGTCAGGTGCTAGAATATAGCTGTTGAATGTAGCCTTGTAGATTCCTGGTTTTTCATGTGGCTGTTGCTACACAAGAATTAATCTGATCATAAAAAAATTCCTAAGTTTAATTTTAACAATATTGTTCCTCTATTTGTTTATTTTGTATGCAAAAAGAAAAAGAATCCTTGTTAAAAATATCTAGCATGATATCTTAATAAAATTTATAAATATATATCTATGATTCTCATAATCCAAATTTCTTTTTCTGACAAAGAATTAAAGAATTAAATTGGGAGACTAAGATGGCCATTTCGAGCTCATTCTGCTCTCTTCAGTTAGCCACACCCTTTATGGGATTTGAACCTGGGCAGTTTACATACTAGGCAGTGATTTAACCACCAAGCCACAGGCTCTCCTCCCTCTTTGCCAGCTCATAATATATAACGACATCATTAGGATTTTATCATTTATTCCTTATTTGCAAACACTTCTATATACCAAGACTTTTATTTTAAATAGATTATGGTTGCTTGAGATTTCTATTTATCATGCTGTATGTCTCCTTAGTACTTTAAGGCATAGAAAGGTGGGTCATTTTAAAATGTATGGGTGTGATCAAATGTTACAGTACATTTTGAGTATTTGGATTGTCTTAACAGTTGGGACAATTCATCAGTTTTTGCCCTCCAATTTCATTGCTATGCTACACATAAGAAATAATCCTTTTAATTGCATTAAAACCCTGTTTTAAACTTCTCAAAGTATGATGCCCAGATGCCCACATGATCCTCAAGTGACATTCAGACATTCCAACAAAGCTCCTCATTCCATGCTTTCCTCATCTCTGGAATATCTTAACTACTGAAATTTAAGAATGAAGGTTTTATTCTTTTTAAAACAATGCTTCAGAATATGGGTGCATTCTTCACTTCTCTAATACTCATTAAAGCAGACAAATATATCATTTTAGGCAAAGAGAAAAGCACTATCAAAGAAGTCTATCTAAATCCAATCCTTGTCACTTTCTAAGATTGTAGAACTAACTGAAACTCTTCTTGCAGGCCGTTGCCTAAAAACCTACAGCATATCCTAGCCTTCAGTTTTGCCATTCAGGAGATCAACGTGAATGAGAACTTGTTACCCAACATCACCTTGGTCTCCAAGGTCTATGACAATGGTTTTCAAGCACTGAAAGCCTCTGAGAACCTTTTGACTCTTTTCTTTGTTGAAGGCCGTTGTCCCCTCAATTACAGGAGGGGAAAGGAGCAAAACATCATGGCTGTCATTGGTGATCTCCCTTCCCAGAACACCATACAGATGGCCAACGTATTAAATGCTTACAAAATTCCACAGGTAGGTATCCGGGCTCACATAAATGCACAAGAAAGGAAAGAGTGGTGGTTAAAAGTGGAGAGAACCCCTCAAAAACAGCTGCAATATTGGGGAGCTGATTTGGGGTAGTTTTATTTATTTATTTATTTTCCCAGAGAAATGTAATGTATCAATTAATTCTTAATAAGCACAAACATCATATTTTGTTTGTAAGAAATGGTGTAGGTATCATTGTTTCTGTCTTCTTCTTCTTCTTCTTCTTCTTCTTCTTCTTCTTCTTCTTCTTCTTCTTCTTCTTCTTCTTCTTCTTCTTCTTCTTCTTCTTCTTCTTCTTCTGGGTGTTGAGAGAGATACAAAATTCTGGTTCTTGCTCTTCTGGTGGACTCAACCATTGCTAATTGATGCTGTAATAGTGTGTCTGATGTTGTCTCTCCATCTTCTTTGACTTTCTCCCCTCTCTGTAAATGCCACAACAATGTTAAATACATTTATCAGTAAAGCACTAGTTATCTTAACCTTATAATATAAAATGCCAGATGAATACTCTCGGATACTGTCAGGTCCTTAATGAATAAGGCTCCTCTCTTGTTACTCATTCCTCTCTCCTCTCTATTTCTGGTTAGCACAATCAAAAACTGAGATGATTTTTGTCTAAAAAGTGTTGAATGGAATGCTAATGATGGTCTGGTTGCAAAAGCTCTGAGGAAAGATTTGTTGAGCCTCAGGTTTAGTATTTGTCTTTCCCATTAAGATTTTCTATGGAAAAACAGTATCCAAAAGAAATGTACTTACTTCCATTTTTGGATGTGTCTGCAGAAGCAATACTTAGTCTAAAAGTACATCATTATTATTCACTCTTTGCAGCTCAGTTATGGCTCTTTTGACCTTGCATTGAGTGATAAAATGCAGTTTCCTTCTTTCTTCTGGATGACTCCTAATGAAAACCTTCACTATGTTGGGATTATTCAGCTCTTGAAACATTTTGGATGGAATTGGATCGGCCTTCTCATCCCAGAAGACACCACTGGAGAGAGATTTTTCAGAATTCTGAGGCCAAAATTAATTCAGAGAGATATTTGCATTTCTTTTATTCAATTTATTCCAAGACTGATAAATTACGAACCCAGTACATTCCGGAAGAATAATCTAAATAGCATAGGACGTTCCTTATTGAATAGTAAACCCAATGTAATAGTTGTTTATGGGGACATGCAATCTATAGAAGGCTTACGAGTAATTCTTGAATGGTATGAAATTAATAGAAGGCTCCCCATAGAGAGGGTTTGGATCATAAGTGCTCTATGGGATGTGACGTCCGTCTTTGTGCCCCAGAAATTCACAGCATTGTCCTTCAATGGCAGTTTGTCTTTTGCCCTACACACAAATATGGTACCAGGTTTTCAAAAGTTCCTTGAGAACCTAAATCCATTTCATTCTAAAATGTATTTCCTATCTATGTTCTGGGGTGCTGCATTTACCTGTTCATTTCCAATGTACAAAATGTATGCATCAGGCAAAGGAAACTGCACTGGGAAAGAGGATCTGCAGAGTCTCCCTGGAACTGTCTTT